GCCGCTGCCGCCATGCCTGCCGCGGAGCCCCCGCAGCCCGAGGACTCTGGGACTACGCCGAGGCCTAACTTTTAGGTCCCACTGAGCGCGGCCCGCGGGCCGGGGTGGGGGGCTGGCCGCGGCACTCGCGCGGAGGATGGATGGCCGAGACTTCGGGCCCCCGCGGTCCGTGCACGGCCCCCCGCCGCCGCTGCTGTCCGGCCTGGCCATGGACAGCCATCGCGTGGGCGCGGCCGCGGCCGGACGCCTTCCCGCCTCGGGCCTGCCCGGCCCGCTGCCGCCCGGGAAGTACATGGCTGGCCTCAATCTCCACCCGCACCCGGGTAAGTGCCGCACCGCACCGCGCCGCGCCCGCGCCTGGCCGCCCTCTCGGGATCCTGGGCCGGCGAACCGGGTAGGGGAGGGAGGCCTGGGAAAAACCATTTGGCCGTTTCCCCGGCAGGCGATCGCGGCAGGCTCGGAACCTCCCTCTTCTTTAGGGGTTCAGGGGGGTGCGGATGGGCTCAGCTTACGGGGTGCGGATACCCCCGGGCCCGGGGAAGAGAGGAGCGCCCGGCACGGCGGCCTCCCTTGTCGTGCCTGGTCCTCCCTAGGCGCACGCGTTCGCCGAAAGCCGAGTCACCCGCGGCGACTCCAAACTCAGGGCCTCTGGGGCGCGAGCCTGGGCTGGGGTTTTCAAATTCTGGGCAACAAAAGAACAAACTAGCCTTGACACCCTGAGGGAGCCGCGTTCCCCAAGCTCTGATCTTTTTCTTGACAAATGCCCTACTCGGCGCCCGTGTGCCCAAAGTTCGTTCTCAGCTCCTCCACCTGCGCCTTGCCCGCCGCTGTGCGGGGTCTCCGGCCAGTCCTGCGCGCCTTGAGGTGCGGGAGAACACCGACCCTAGCCCAGGCATCCTGTTCTTCGGCAGCAGGCGGGCGGCGGCCCCAGGAACCTGTCTCCAGGCAGGAGGGAGGCTACTCTGGTTCCGGGGACCCTGGCTTCGGCGGGAAGACGGGCGTGCGGCGCAGCGGTCCGCTGCAACCAGGCCGCCGCCACCAGACTCTGCGGGGAAGGAAGCGGCGCCGGGAGTGTGTCGGGCCGGATTTGGGCGGCAGAGGGAAACCCGGGTGGAGCAGCGAACCGTGGGAGGAGCGCGTCGACTAGGCCGGGCGCCTCCGCCGTTTCCCGAGAGGGTTGTCCGGCGTGGTGGGGCTGACAGCCGAGTCCGGTCCCGGCTGGGACGTGGGGAGGGCCCCAGCCCTGTTCTGCGGCCGGCTCGGGAGGCTTGGTTTCTCCACCCTGCAGGTGCCCCGGTCTCTGTGCCTGGCGTCCCACGCATCAACTTTAAAAACCCCACTTCTCTCCTCCAAACGGCGTTTTAGGACTCTTAGGATTTTTTGGGGAGCTTCCAACGCTTTCCTCGGCCTTTGCATCCTGGAAGGGCCCCTGGGCCGGGAGTGAACGCCCGGCCCTGGCCCCACCGGCCCCGCCCAGCCGCCGTACTCTTCGTCCCCCCCCCCCACTTCTTTTGATTTTTTTCCTGGAACTTTTCAGGAACCCGAGTCCGGGGGGCTCGGCGAGGACAAAGGGCCTTTGTGCGGCCGGGGCGGGGGAGGGGCGCGGAGATCCCCGCCGGCGGGTTCGGAGGCCGGGGTGCAGCCCTCGGGCGCGCGTGTACTCTCCGGGAGCGGGGGCTACATTCCGCCTGGGGACCGCGACAAGAGTGAGGGTTTTCTTCCGAGTACCGCGCTGCGGGCGAACGACAGTCGCCGGAGACCACAGGGAAAGGACTGGGATGCGGCTCTTGTGTACAAAGGGCTGTCTAGGCCGTCCCTTTCTCTGGACCCCTCGAAGTCACAGTGAATTCTCTTGGTTATTTTGGGCTCTTCAGGCTACTCAGTCCTCCCTGGCTGGTGGGGGGGGGGGCGCGGCCTGGGATCGGACCCCGAGCCTCCCGGGTGGGCAGAGCCTTCGCGCGTCTTCTGTGGACCCCCGTGTTCGCACTGGCTCCGGCTTCGCAGAGACCAAGTGCCCTCATCAGAAGAAATGAAACCAGCCCCTACTAATAGGGTGCTCCTGGTGTGCGCGCACCTGGCCAGGCACCTATCCTGGACCTCAGATCCCCTTGCGAGGGCCTGTCCGGGCGCCTTCCGCCCTCCGCGGCGGGGCTGGGAGCTGCGGGACTTCTGGGACTCCGCAGCTGAGGTCAGGGAGGAAAAGGCAGGCGCACGCCTGAAGCGCTGCTCCGGAAGGCTGCAGTTCCCGGCCCCTAACGCTTATCTGGGAGGGAAGGGCGGGCGGGGGAGGGGGCGCCCTGCTGCCCCTCGCTGTCCCCACCTCGGGTGACCAGACCCCAGACCAACGCCCATAACGGAGGTCGGTGCTAACCCCATTAGCCACGAGGCGCGGAGCGGCTCTGCATTCACTGCTTGGGGCGGGGCCCAGATTAGAAATTCCCCAGCCCAGCACCCTCCTCTCTTTTTCTTTGCGGGATGCAGGTGCTAAATTTTCCCTTCAGACGCACCGCCCCTTCCTCATTGGCTGTCAGCTCGTTAGGTATCGCCAGCGTTATCAGCCCATCTTTATTTATTTTCGTACCAGGAAGCCCGGAGAGGCTGAGTAATTTGCCCGGGGTCACACAGCGAGGGAGGGAGAGGCCACGTTTCCTCCCGACTCCTCTCTGACCTGGACTCCAGCTTCGGCCGCCAGAGCCTTCTGACTGCGCGTCTGCTCGGCCAGCGCTAATAGAGGCCGCCCTGGCTGAGGCATCTAACTGCTCTGAGAGAGCTCCTGGGCGGAGGGGACTCTGGTGGTGGGACCCCATCCAAATAAGCATCGACAGGGGGTTGGCTGTGGGCCTTGGAGCCCGGGAAGTGAGCGAGGGTCCCCTGGAGGAGATCTTTTTGCATTGTGGGTATAAGCGGCGGGATTTGGTCCTTTTTCCTGCAGAAACTGGAAGGGCTGGGGGTTGAGATGAAGGAAGGGATGGCAGTTTGCCTTTCTTATAACCTTGAGTGTTGATATTGTGTAAGCAGTAAATGTTCACAGGCTAGTACCTGAAATGGACAGATACGTGATAGGCACCTGGTAGGCTTGTCCTCTCTCTGGGCTTGGGAGCCTGGCCTGAATTCTCATCACGTTGCAATTAAAGAGTTATTTGCGTGCGTACTCTCCCTGCCACTCCACCGCGTGCTGGCCCGGGAGGAGGATACTAGGTGAATGGAGTATCTGGAAGCATCAACATGCTGTTGCCCCGCACTTTGGACTTACCAGTGGACAAGAGAGGGCAGTGGGCCTTCTCCAGGGCCAATCGGATCCATCTCTGGAATCTGGCCTGTCAGCCTGTTGGGATTGATTTAAAAAGATTAATCAGTGGGACCTGCGGGTGGGGTGATGGGATCTCAGGATAAGGGAGATTTGCAGGGTGCTTCCTTCTTTGGTCAGAGGCAGCAAGGGAGGCCTAGGGAAGGTTCTGGAATCTCAAAGGGCCTCTTGGGCCCTCTGCCTCTCTGAGCTTCCTGGTTCTTTAGCTCCCAACCCCAGGGGTTTCTTCTTTCCTTACTTGTTCGTTTACTTAGCAAGTGATTTCTGAGTGCCTTCTGTGAGCGAGCACGCCTGTGGTTCTGGGGACCCAGCAGTGAACCAAAAGCCCCCCTCAAGAAACCTCGTGGCTGTCCAATTGATTCTGACTCATGGTAAGTGTATTCTGACTCATGGTCACTATGTGTTACAGAATAGAACTGCCCCATAGGGTTTTCTCGCTGCCGTCTTTACAGAAGCAGATCACCAGTTCTTGTCTTCTGAGGTACCGCTGGGTGCGTTTGAACCACCAACCATTAGATTATCAACCCAGCGCAGACTGTTTTCATCAACCAGGGATCCTTAGCAGTGAACCACACAGACGAAAGTCCTTGCCCTCGGTGCTCCTATGCTAGTGTGGGAGTCAGCTAATAAACCTACAAGTCAGGGAGGGAAATCATTTTCCACAGAGCTACAGGTGGAGAGTCAAATACAACGAGAGCTTGTTTTTGGCTGGAGTGGTGGCAGCCTGTGTCAGCTGGGTGGACACTAGGGATCCAAGAAGCGAACCTTTTTGGTGAAAAGCACAGAAATGAGAAAAGCCGATGCAAAGAGCTTGGCTTATTTGAGAGAAGAACTGGGGTGACTGGGAGCCTCGGCAGATGAGATGGGGGAGGCGAGAAGTAGGGTGGGGGGTCCTGCAGCTCTCAGAAGGCCAGTAATGAGGGCTTGGAATTTTAAACAAGGAAGAACGAGGAGGCAGTGCAGGATTTTAAACGGAAGGAGTGACTCAAATAGAGGGACGTTTTACAGAACTGGCCCGGACTCTTTCAAAATATCTCAGTGGCCTGCCAGACAAAGGCAGGCGGAGAAACCGTCCCTGATTAAAAGCTACTAAAATGATTTGATAGCTGAAGGCAGTCCCTGACCCGGGAGTGGATTCTGGATCAGGGGAGAAATTGCTCCAAAGGACTTCATGAGGGCAGCTGGCAAAATTGGAATATGGATTGTAGATTACCTGATAGACCCAAATCAGTGTTACCTCTCGTGAAGTCGATAACTGCACTCTGGTTGTATAAGAGAATGTCCTCGTTCTTAAGAAATAAGAACACTGAAATGTTTAGGGGCAAGGGATAATGATTCAGGAAAGAAAAAAAAAACAACATAATTTATATATGTACAGGAACCAAAAACCAAACCTGTTGCCGTCGAGTCGATGCCGACTCACGGCGACCCCCTGTGTTAGAGAGTAGGACTGACCTCCATAGGGTTTTCTTTTTTTTTAAGTTTTGTTTTTAATTGGGCTTTAGGTGAAGGTTTACAGAGCAAATTAGTTTCTTATTAAACAATTAATACATATGTTGTTTTGTGACATTTGTTGCCAACCCTGTGACTTGTCAACACTCTCCCCTTCTCGACCTTGGGTTCCCCATCTCCATTTAGTCTAGCTTTCCTGTCCCCTCCTGTATTCTCGTCCTTGCCCCTAGGCTGGTGTGCCCATTTAGTCTTATTTTGTTTTATGGGCCTGTTTAATCTTTGGCTGAAGGGTGAACCTCAGGAGTGACTTCAGTACTGAGTTAAAAGAGTGTCCGGGGGCTATACTCTTGGGGTTTCTCTAGTCTCCAGTCGGACTAGTAAGGCTGGTTTCATAGGGTTTTCTTGGCTGTCATCTTTATGGAAGCGGATCGCCAGGCCTTTCTTCGGTGGTGCTGCTGGGTGGGTTCGAACCACCAACCTTTAGTTTACTAGTCAATTAGTTCAGTAGTAGGGTCCAGGCCAGTTGTTCTGTGAAATGCCACCCAGGGACCTTCTATGTGTGGG